AGGACACCTTTTCTTGTGCTCTAACTGAAGTGGAGGGTGCTGGGGAGACTGCTAATTGCCACAGACATTATTGTATATTGAAAATCAGTCTTTCACAGACACTTCCCAGCTACCTCATAAAAATTAAATTCTTTTCAAGTGCAATTTGCATTTTAAAAAATAGTGAATGAGAATAGTTGAAATTCTCATGGGAGAAATTTTCTGCATAGGAGTAGATTAAACAATTGAATCTCAGAAAGTTAATTTTAATTCCTTTGACAGCACTGTAGAACAGACACATACCCACATTTACACCAAGCACCTGAACCAAGTTTCATACAATGTTATTCTGCAGCTAATGGTCTGTATCTTGTTCAATATATTCCATCTGTCGAAACTGCCGTGGTGATCTGATGAGGTGCAAAATATGAGCAGACACATGCCTGATCATATGAGCTGGTGATATCACCACAGCACCTTCTGCAGTCGGTGCTCCATGCATGTAAATAATGAACAGGATACTGGTCAATAAATCCTTACATTGCTGAATTACTTGATGAATTGGGTAATGGACATTGCCTTCTTTGGTTTGCCATATCTAAAAAAAAGTTATGCACTCAGACCTTTCCTGAAATAGTGCTTTCACGCTAGACATAAATGGCTTTCTTATGATAAATAAGAAAGATGTCCATGTTGGTTTAAGGATGTAACATTCTCATTTCGGAAGGTTTCCCCTACTGAAACTTGTCCTGTCCTGACCCTACCAAAGCAATGGTGGGGATCCCTTTGTTCCTCTAGATGTTTTTCACCTGCAGCTTACAAGGCTTATCCAGCACAATATTGATATGGGACTGTAGGTTTCCTTGTACAGTGGTGCCTCGCTAGAAGATGATAATCCGTTCCACTGAAATCGCTGTTTAGCGAAATCATTGTCTAACGAAAAGCATTTCCCCATTGGAATGCATTGAAACCTGTTTAATGCATTCCAGTGGGGAAGAATCGTCGTTATCTAGTGAAGATCGGCCATAGGAAAACTGATTTAAACAGCCGCTGATCAGCTGTTTAATCGCTGTCTTGCAAAGCCTAGGTCCCGAAAACACCTGTTTGCGGGAGCGGAGGGAGCTGTCAAAATCATCGTCTAGCGAAAATCGGCTTGCGAAGCAGGGACCAAACATCGTCCAGTGAAATTCCCCCATAGGAATCACTGTTTTGCGAATCGCTATAGCGATCACAAAAAGCCAATGTCTAGCGAAAAAACTGTCATGCGGGGTAACTGTCAAGCGAGGCACCACTGTATCTGCAGTGTCAAGTATTCACACTTGTTCCTGGAATGGAATACCCACAAATAAAGGGGGGGGGCTGTACTATGTTTCTGTGGTACTAGTACGTTTGTACATTATGGAGAACTTTGAAAAACTGTCCCTTTCACTTAATGCTATAACACTTTAAACAGCCCATCAACTTTACAAGGAACCATATAAGAAGAGCCCAGGATGGGCAGAGGGCAGGATCAGAAGAAAAGGGGGCAGATCAAATTGCATTAGATTGAGGGGCCAGTGTGGCCACTGGCCACCCTAACAATCTGTGGTCTCAGTGTGACCACTTAATTGGAACAGAAGTGTAAAAAAAAAGGCTGGAAATCAAGTCGTAGCAAAGCCAAATCACTCTGATTCGGTTTGCTAGTGTAGCCACAGGTTATTCTGTAGAGACGGCATAGAAGTGTTGCCTGAGATGCGAAGAGGCAGGTGCAGCGTATATTGAAAATGGGGGATTTTTTAATTAGTACATCCAGGTTCCTAGCAATAAAAATAATACCTGTTCTGAAGTGCACAGGATGTCACGTTCTTCCTCTATTTCCCTGGAGGCCACTTTTCTTTATCTATATAGCCTCCTCTCTCTCCCCGCCTCTTGGAAACTTCCTTCTGTTTCATCTATTTCTACTATTTCTGATGTATTCATTGCATGCATACCCTGCCTGTCAGGCAAGGAAGAAAGAAGTCCTCAGAGCCGTTCATGATAGGAGTAAGAAGCCACTCCCTGCCCTCAGGGTTTACAATCTAAAATGTAGGACACTCCACCGAAGGATTAAGATACGCGGTGGCGGGAAGGGGTAAAACCAATCCAACCCTGGCGGGAGGGACTCTCCTTCTGTGGAGAGTGGCGGCGGGAACGTGGGGCCCAGGTGATGTGTCTTTCTTCAGCTTCGCCCTGCGTTTCCCTTCAGCTTTCTCGTCTCCTGAGTCTGCGGAGAGGATTAAGTGGGACAAGACGGAGCGGCGAGGCTGGTGGCCGACTGGAGGCGCCGGTCGCAAAGAGGCTGCCCAAATCCGCTTCCACCGGTCGTGGCATTGCGACTTTCCCTACCACGCGGGGCTGGGGCTGCTTTCGCGAGAGCTCCGCCCGCAGAAAAGGTCTCGATTTCCAATCAGGATTATTTTGTTAATCTGCTGCCTTTGATGTCCCGCTGTTGGAGGGGGGGGAGGGGAAGTGCCTTGCCCTCCAGCTTCCGTTAAAATGGATGGGACCTCCTAACTACCATGAGCGATCCTGCGTTATCGCAGGCCTGAGAGGTCCCCAATAAACTGTGTGTTTTTGGTAAAGGAGAAAACGGAAAGGCCCTATTCCCCGGTGCAGGGATCTCTCGATCCAGATCGAGGCCCTACGTTGGCTGCTTCTGAAAGAAGAAGAGTGAGAGTGAATAACATTGCTCTGAGCAGGTCCTCGAAAGAGTTCACAACATTCAGATACGGCCTTTCCTGGGAGTTGCGCCATCTAGAATCCCAAGAATTTTGTACAAACATCTGGGCGATTCCCGCCGCCCCCCCGTTTCGTTCAGCCTGCAAGCAGGTTTCTTGCCCAGGATACAGTCGGAAGCGCCCTTGCATGATATTTCCCTTTCTCTTCCCTTCATTAATTTCCGATCAACAATTAGGTGCTTAATACTAAACAAATATTGAGGACTGAACAATGTGGTCCCCAAAATTTATTCACCAGGTATCTCTGATGTTAGGCACTAGCTGAGGCTAACTTTGTCTCAAGGCTGAGAGGGTAAATTTGTGTAGGGGAGCCATGTGTAATGTTCTGAGTACTTTGAAGAAAAGAGGGTGTGCATATCTGATCTCTCCCCAAATTGCAGATATTTCCATTCTAAAGCAAAATAGTTTCTTTGAGATACCCTAATTGACAGTCTTGTAGGACTTGGGAGTTCCCACATCTGAGAGTTTAGTGATCTAAAAAAGGTATTTTCAGCATTAGTTGTAGTGTTTTGTAGGAGGAGTTCATTATTTACTGTCTGTTTTGTTTCAGGTACAGAGGAACTCTCCTAGAGCCTAAGACAATGAGGGTTATTAACTTCATTACATTGAGTACATGGACCTAAAGCAGGTTTGCTGAGAAATAAACCCCATTGAGTTCTAGGGTGCTTAGCCTTTGGTGTTCTCTGTACAGTTGATTATTCCTTTGGCCAGGGGCAATTTAGATTACAGTGTGCAAGTAGAGGAGATATAATCCATACTCCATAGCTGCTTTCCTCCTCTAAATTCACAACTGCACCCCATGGGAGGGTCAAAGAAAGGGAAGAAAACCCTTATGAATTCTAGTACGGTATCAAAGTCTAAAACTGGACTGGAAAACTGCAGATAGACAAAGACAAAAATATATATTTATAGGATAGGATGACTTAGGCTACAGAGTGCTTGGTGGAAGGGCAGCCCCCCCTTTTTTAAAGTGCAGTTTTAACTGTAATTTCCAAAAATCTTGAAGTCAGAAACATTTGGAGAGATCTAATGCAAATCATTTGCAGCTGGACTGGTCCCCACATATCCTATAGACCAGTGGTTTCTTAACCCTGGGAGACCCAGGTATTCTTGATTGCCCTTCCCAGAAGCCTTCACCACCAGCTATATAAGCTGGGGTTTCTGAAATTTGTCAAAGAACACCTGGATTACCCAAAGTTGGGAGCCACTGCTATAAACTATCATCAGTTTTCTTTTCTGAGTTTATTATGTCATTATGAAGCCAAATGGCATGATCCATATTCATCTGTTAGGCAGCAGAATATTTGGGGAAATGCTTGGACTTACAGTGACTTCTGCATTGGTTGCAAAGCCAGAGGTTTGGACGTGCCTATTGTGCCTTCTAGCACAAAAGCCAGCCTGTGTGGCCTTGGGCAAGCTGCACAGTTCCAGGCACACCCAGAAGAAGGGAATGGTAAAACCACTTCTGAGTATTCTCTACCTAGAAAACCCTGGCAAAAGTCACCAAAATTTGGAACTGAACTGATAGCAGGTAATTATTTTCTTATTATTAGGAATCACAGAAACACCAACTTCTTTATTTTTAAAAGCCAGCATCTTGTGCAGAGAAGACACTCTAATGACAACAAAGAATGCTCAGCAGGGACAGAATACTGAATGTTAACTCGCAACTTTTCATCTTTATCATGGTACTTATTCCTTGCAGGATTCTCATAGGAAATTGTTGTAGAGGTCTGTGCAGTGTACATTCGGGCGGGGGGGGGGCGGAATGGCCAAAAGGAATTGTAAAAAATAGTGTTGGGGAAGGATAGAAAGAGGGGAATGGAGATTGGAACGGAATATTTATTTATTTAAAATATTTATACTCAGCCTTTCTCCTGAAAAGCACCCAAGGCTGGCTTAAAATGATACAGCTACCTGGAATACGAAAGAGAATACTAAACATTTCCTTGCAGGAGCCATTCATATACGTTCTAAACTGAAAAGCCCCCGTTTGACAGGCAGGCGTCGAGGCTCAGACCACCGCGGGCGATCTCTTTCTGGGTAAGAGTAGCGCAACCTCGTCGCTTCAGATCGCAAAAGTCTGAAGGACGCCCCAGCCCCGAACTGTATCGTCCAATCCGGAGAGAAGGGAGGCGGGCTGAAGCGCGCAGTGGGCGCCGAGGGAAAAGGGTGAAGACGGGCGAGTTGCTGGGTGGCCGGCCGGCCGGCCAGGGAGAGAGGTAGGGAAAGAGGAGAAGCGGCGAGGCGTTCCTCGCTCTGAGTCTCTGCCCGCCGAGCCCGCGTCCAGACGACGAGGAGAAGGCCGGTAAGGGCGAGAGGCACATTCCGAGAGTGCGCGGGGAGCGACTTCCACGCTTCTGCTGCGAGCCTCCAGAGCGCGCCCTTTCCAGGGCTTGATAGTCACGCGTGGGGAGCGGTCGTGGGTTCGGCCCTTGTCTGAGGCGGGTCCCGCCAGCGGCACAGCCGCTGTCGGGAGAGGGAGAGCGAGAAAAGCGCGCGGAAGGAGGAGAAGGCGGAGGGTCCTGCAGACTCCCCAGGTGCATCGCTTGCGGGTCCTGTTAAGAGGGAAAGGCGGGAGCCGGCTGGACCCGCCTTCGTGCCTTTCCCAGCTCGGCTGGCCGCTTCGGTGGGGAAGGTTTGGGCACCTCTCTGGCACAGTTCGCTGGGAAGGCGGCTCGAGTGGATTAGACTGCGAGGCGGAGCACAAGCGCCGGTGTTTTCCTGCTCCGAAGCTGCTGCAGAAGAAAAAGATTTTAAGTGCCAGCCGCTTTGGGGGAGGAGGATGGTTGGGTCGGGAGATCGGGGGGGGGGCTCCTTTCCCGGAGTTAATACCCCTGGCAAGAGGCCAAAGCATGCCCCTGACCTGAATCCAGTGCCTGGGTGGTGGGATGTGAGAAGTGGATGGGGTGTATTTTTGGCTCGTACTTTTGATTTGATACTCGCATATATTAGCGCCCGATCTTTGCGTTTTCCCTGTGGAACACTGGTAACATTTAAGGAGTACAGTATTCGTGTTGGAAGGGACGTGAAGCATTAACTAGGAAGAGATGATCCTTTTTCCAGCCTGAGTTAACTCAACCTCCATTCCATAGACACGTGGGTGTCAAGCGTTCCTGTTGAAAAGGATGGAAGGTGTTTGATGGCGATGATGGGACCCTGATTTCAGTTCACAAATAGTGTTGGGGTAACACATGAGGCACAGCAATCAGGGTACTGCTATGCTAGGAGCGGAGCCTGAGCTAGTGTGGGCTGCTTGGACAGGTTGATTAGAAAAATCTAACGAAGCAGGACTGTGCACATGGAAAAAGGCTCCTGCCAGTATCATGAAGTGGCTTAATAAGCGAGCCACTTCAGGATATTCACAGAGGAAGTGATTTTTAAACTATTTATTTATTTATTTATTTGATTTATACCCCGCCTATCTGGACTACTCGTCCACTCTAGGCGGCTTACAATATAGACCATTGCTGATGCACTGCGTCAATTATTAATATATCTATATCTATATATATATTCTTTGCTGTCTCTTAAAGGTCTAGTGAAGAAACTGCCTGCAGCCAGAGCCACCACTGTGAATTCAGCTGTGAGGTGAGGCAAAGTTTTAATTTTTTTTAAAAAAATATATAACCAATGTTGTACATCAGTGACAGTCTGTATAAAGTCAAAAACATTTTTTTCAGGAGTATTTGTGAGGTGAGGCAAAGTTTTAATTTTTTTTTAAAAAAAATATAACCGATGTTGCACATCAGTGATAGTCTGTATAAAGTCTAAAACATTTTTTTCATTTATTAATTTGCCAGTATCATAAAATGGCTTGTTTATTAAGCCTTCATGATTAAGCCTTCATGATATTGGCAAATTGAAAGAGAAAGGCTTGCTTTGGATTGGTTCCAGCTTAAGCCATTAACCTATGAAAATGCAGTTTTAAGCACAAGCAGCTGTGGGAGGCAGCAGTTTTGAGCAAACAGTTGGCAAACAAGAGAAGAATTAAATATTTTTTCCATCACTTCTCCATTCCAGATGTTTTTGTCCTCAAAGCAGTCTGGATAGAAATAGTGTATTTCAAGGTCATTGCACATGTTTCTGTAGTTTGACAGTTGGCTTGCTTGAGATTTGGCATGTGTGTTGATTTGCAGTGCATACAGATAGATCATGTTGTAGATGAATCATTCATAGCCATGTTTAAGGAATGCATTGTAGAAGATTTCTAGAGAGTGGAAGAAGTAATTAATAGAAATACTCTTGAAAAAAAATGAAAATGTGTAAAATATGGATGCGTTTCTTCTCCCTCATTATTTTTGCTCATTGGAGGATTGGAGTTTTAACTCCAGTAGTGATTTGCTTTCTTTACTTTGCCAAACTTACAACAGACCATAAAGATTTTACTTGGAATGTTTAGGCATTCAGAATGAACTTTATTTTTTTACTCTAAAAGTAGGTAGGAAAGAATAAAAGCAACATGAAAGGGAGGAAAGAGAAGATAGATGGAAAACCCCTTCAGTGAAGGAGAGTGGAGAGAGAGAGATAAGGGGCTATCAGGAAGGGAGACACAGAACTGGGGTCTTTACCCTTGCTGTATTTACCTGTGTTTGGGGACTCCCCCTTACCCAATGTATGCATTCTGTCTCAGATCCAAAGGGGAGAACCTGTCGTTATTGAATGGGAGTTGGACTCAGAATATTGTTAGTGTTGTACCGAAGGAGATGCCAGTGAAGTCAAACTAGGGGCTGTCTGACATTGTTTTTGAGAAATCACAAGTTATGTTGGATAAACCTGTTGACTTTAAAACTAAACTGTATCTGTCTGTAAGTTTGGAGCTGGGTCAGTCTTGGAAAGGTCACCCAAACCCAGTCACAGTCAGTGGGCCCAACTAGTAGAACTCTAAGCTGAAGTCCCCTCTCCCAGGGAAACGCAGACGTAATTCCCAGTTCAGTTTTGGTATGCATGCTATCCTTTATATCAAAGGAAAGCAATAACCAAAATCCTATATAACATTCTTCAATGAAAACGGTGTCCAGTTCTGCAAATGACAGTGCAGGTGCTCTGATTGTCCCTGGTTGCACAACACGTCTAATCAGTTCTGCATTTGGCTCTGGAGACAACTGCACTGGTAGAAACTTAATTGGATTCTGTGTGGAATTAGGTGTCCATGTTGTATACACTAATGGAATGACTTCATTGGATTCTAGCCAGTATATTTGGAAAATATGCTTTGTTTAATAAGTGACCGCAACATTTAGACCTAAATCTTACATAGTGCTAGCAGTGTTCAACTGTGTAAGCCACTGTGAGGGCATGAGTTTTGGCTCCAAATTCAATTCCAAGAAATCAATAGATCTTTGTTGTTTCAAAACAGGTATGGGATTTTTTGGTGCATTAAACAATAAACAAGTGTCTGGAACATGATTATGAGTCCTTTCTCCTTCTGCCAACGGGTCCGAAAGGGGCTTCCATTAGTTAAACAGGAACGGGTTTCTATAACTGTTGTGCCATGGTCCCAGGAGTTCAGTGGGAACCCAGTCCTTTACGGTCTCCTCATCCAGGTCGTCATCCCACAGGGTCCATCCATCAGAGTCTCGGTTCTCCCAGGGTCCTCCCTGTAACTCTGTCTCTTCATCTCCCTTACTCTCCATTCCAATTGTTCTCTCCTTTCTCTCTCTACTCGTTCTTTTTCCTCTCTCTCCTTCTCCACTCCCTCGCCTCTGCGTCTTCCCAATAAGAGGGTCTAGGGGGAATCTCCTCTCCTATAATATGCCTCCTCTTTTGGCACTCTTAATCTCTCCCATAATCTAGTCCAAGGATCCTGCACCCATACCCATTCCCAACTGGGCAGTAACTGGTCTTTTCTCCTCTCTACCTCCCCCCATCCCTGCTTCAAACTCCACCCTCCTTTCTCTCTCTCTTCCCACCTTTTCTCCCTGAACCTCCCCTATCATCATTTTCTGTATGTCTTCTGTCAGCTCCTCTATCGCTGTCTCCTGCTGAGGTTCCACTGTAGGTTCTGGTGCGAGTTTGGGGTCCACTTCCATAGTTTTGTTGTTGAGGAGGCACAGCTCTCCAGCGAATGGGGTATCTTTCTTGCCCTCTGTCTCATAGCCACTTTGCACAACTCAAAACTGTACTGAATTATTTTTGGGTTAAGTCTGAAAACATGTTGCAGCATTTTGCACTAGTACTGTGGCATTCCTCAATACAAGTCATAATTATCAACAATACCGTTTTATTCAAGAAGTCTGTTATAAAAAATTTTTTTACATGAAACTGCTGAAGCTTTCTGGGTTGCTTGATGTGTGAGAGGGGAGGAAACTGAAAACTGTATGTAACATAAGCTGGTGAAGGGCTACTTCACTTATCATACAGAAATAATCACTGGTTCTTCTCTGAGTGTTTCATGCATGCATGTGTCTTGGAAATTTGGGCCCAATCAGTACACACACTAGAGGTGTCAGTTCTTGTGTAAAATATGTAGCCGCTGTTTGGGAGTTTAATTTCCAGGTCAGTTACCTGAACGAATGATAGATGAAAGATGGATGAGAACATGCTGTTGGTGGATTTCTTAATAAAGTATTGGGAAACATTTGCACTGAATGGAGGGAATATGTTTCTAATACATCTTACTCTAAAAGCTGAACCTGTTTGCCTAAATCTCCCTCTTCTGAACACCTGATTTAATAGAATTACAATTTTGTTTAGAGAGCAATGAAAGTGAGGACTCTCTGTTACTGGGTCAGGAGAGGAACTGCATACCTAGCATCTGTTTATATTTCCCGTTCCCCATCCCATGTCCCTGTGTGCATATTGTTAGCTGGACTGAGAATGAGAGAGAATGTTGGTTGATATTTAATTGAGACGAGTTTTCATAGAAACATGTGCCATAAACTTAAGGTTCAAACAAATTTCATCACATTTTAGTTCCAGTGACCAAAATGAATGCGTTAGTTATATGGACATTTTTTGCCTTGAAATAAATTGAATACAAAATTGCTTAATGTGGTTGCATTGTGGCAGAAAAGAAACATATTCATCTGTACCACTTTAAAGGGCATGACAAAAGAAATATATCCAACTGTTTTAAAATGCAGTCTTATCATCATGGCTTATTAGAGAGAAGCCGACATATCACCCTTAAAGGTGGAAACATTAAGAACATAAAAATCCTGGAATCTTGAGATAAGTTCCTAAGTGTAACAAGGAGCTATGTAATAGAAAGGTATCACACAAAATACTAGAAAAGTATTGTCAGAAGAGAGTTCAGCACAATGCAGACTATAAAACTGCACTACAAAGGGGAAAATGGTACAATTTTGAATGCTATTTTCTTTTGAACTAGTATTTTTCTGGGGATTTCTAGTTAAATATAATTCACATGGTTAATAGGAAACATACGTATTTATTATTTACAAAGAACATGAGGGAAAAATATTATCCTAGAGAGTACTCAGCTGACTGGAAGGCAAAATGTTGCTTTGCGTAATTATATTTTAAGCTATAGGGCAGTATAGAAGCCAAAACAATAAATAAAGATAGATAGATAGATAGATAGATAGATAGATAGATAGATAGATAGATAGATAGATAGATAGATAGATAGATAGATAGATAAGAACTGTTTTACTCCATTTGCTGTATTTTTAAAACTACAACAGTCCATTCCTTAAATGAGGCTGTAGAGAACTGAAGTATTTGCTAACTGTAATTGGTTTTTACGAACAAGAAAATGTGTTTTAAATAGAACAAGAGGAGGATAATTATATTTTAAACGTTACCCTGAGGTTAAGACTGGAGGAGGTTAATTACATATTTTAAAAGTTACTTTGCTTTACTGTTTCTCTGCTTAATTCCACTCTTTTGTGTTGATGACTGATCAGTTGTATTGTGAGCAATGAAAATAAGGGTTCTGGAAGAAGTTCATAGCACTTTAGGTGCCGCTAGAACGAGAGGGATGTAAGTGGGAGCCAAATGCTTTCGATTCAGCCCATGTGATCTGCTTGTAATGTACCATATGAAAAACAAAGTATTGGATAGTGGCATAAACATGGGGAAATAACATCTGGTGATTTTATGACTGAGAAGTTAAACTGGTATCAAATATGCATAATGTGTTGTGAGGGCTGAAATAGCATGGGAAAGAGAGAGATGGAGAGTGGTTACTTCCTGATTTTGGGAAATGACTATTCTAAGATCCTAATAATTCATTTACTATTGGTTTTTCCTCGCTGCCCTAATATTTTATGGTTTTGTGCCTGTTCAGAGCATAGTGGCACAGAAGGCTCTCAAGGATCAGTTTTGAAACTACTGGGTAGGTCAGTGGTTTAGGTATCTGGCTGCAGAGCCAGAGGTGGTGAGTTTGATTCCCCACTGGGCCTCTTTGACAGGGGCTGGAATCAACGATCCAAAGGTTCCTTTCCACCTCACTAGTTCCAAGATTATTATAATCATTTTATTTCTTAGCAACGTAGCAAATTGCCAGAGTCAGATAGTTTATCCAACTAGTTCAGGTTGTTGTTGTTTTTAAGCGCCTCCCCTGCCCCCAACCTGGGGTCTTTCAGATGCCTTAAGAGTACAACTTTCTTCACTGCTAGCCATTAGCCGTCCTGGTTAGGGGAAAATGAGAACTGCATCTTCTGCAGTCCAAAAAATATCTGGAGGACTATTACATTGCAGAATTGCTGACACTGGCAGGCAGAAGCTTTCTATCATTTTCAAGAAGGGATTGTTGCCAGACCTGTCTGGAGATTCCAAGGAGAATCCTCATGCTCTAACAATAGAAGGTTATAAATTATAGAACAAAGAGATTCTCTGAGTAATGTATTCTCGAAGGCTTTCAAGGCCGAGATCTGATGGTTGTTGTGGGTTTTTTGGGCTCTTTGGCCGTGTTCAGAACATGGCCAAAAAGCCCAAAAAACCTACAACAACCATTCTCTGAGTAACTTACATAAATAAAAGAGGCATTTTCCAAAAAAAGTACTCACATTATGGAAAAAGAAAGAGTAAGAATAATAAGAGGTGAAAGCCTGGTAGCAAATTAATGCAGTGCTTTCATATAAAATTATTGTCTTGACCATAATATTTATGTCTTCCTCTCTTTATGCAGGATGCAAGAACTAACATGAGAAAAAACAGTACTTTGGGAAAATATTTTACGGAAGTTGAGAGAAAAAGAAGAAAGAAACACTGCTGTGGAGTTTTTTGTTAAAAAAGAATTCTGCTGAAATGTGTTTTTTCCCCTCAAACTTAAGTTGTATTTTGGATTACTACCATGTTGTGTTCAACACGGATAATAAGTTATAGGAAATAAAGCATTTTTTATTATGACAAAAAACACACAGAGAAATTCATAATTAGTGTGTTATGATTGACATACTAAATATAACCTTCAAACTTGGTAATGGGAAAGTGGTGAGCATCAAAAGGTGGCAGATCTGGAAATAAGATTCTTCAATATTATATCACTTAATATGATGTCAGAAATCAATGCCAGTGCAACATTCAGCTTGAATACATCTACAGACGAGCCAAGAACTGGCCTTTCTAGAATGGGGCACAACATTGTGGCTGTTTTTCTTGGACTCATACTATTTTTTGGCTTCTTGAATAATTTGGTGGTTTTCATTCTCTTCTGCAAGTTTAAAACTCTTCGCAACCCAGTGAACATGCTTCTGTTGAACATCAGTGCCAGCGACATGCTGGTCTGCATCTCTGGTACCACCTTCAGTTTCATATCCAACATCTATGGCAGATGGATTGGAGGGGAGCATGGCTGCAGGTGGTATGGCTTTGTCAATTCTTGTTTTGGTAAGATATGAAAAAAAATCCCACTGTTTTAGTATTGTTTATACTGGAAGAATATTCATATAAGGGATGAAATAATGTAAACTCTTTAATATTAATCATGTCTCATCAAGTCAATTCTGACTTAGGGAGGCCCTTTCCAGGGTTTTCCAGGTAGACAATACTCAGGAGTGGCTTATCATTCCCTTCTTCTGGGGGCACACTAGGATTGTGCAGCCTGCCCAAGGCCACACAGGCTGGCTCTGCTTGCAGGAGGCACAGTGTGGAATCAAACTCCCAGTCTCTGGTTCATCAGCCAGATACCTAAACCATTGAGCTATCTGGCATCTACTAAAGTTTTCTTTAGTTAGATATAAATAGTTGATTAGCGTTTTGCCTCCTTCATTTATGAACCACACATCTTTATCCAGCAACATTATTTTTCATGGAACTGTATGTTCTGTTGTATCCTTGGGTCTTGAAAATACTATTCCTTACTGAGGTGTACATTTTGTGCTGCAGCAGAAAGAAGCTAGGAGATGTAGCCTCTGGAACAATCTATCTCCCGAGATTTGCGGGGCTCCCTCTCTGGGTATCTTTAAGAATCAATTAAAGACATGGATGTTTCGGCAGGCGTTCCCATCAGATAATTCCTGACGCCGTCTCTTTCCTCTCTTACTGTTTCTTCTGCCTTGTGTAATGATAAATAAATAAATAAAAATAAATACATAAATAAATAGTTGCAGGGTAGAAATTGCATGTGGGAAGAAGAATTAGCTACCTTTGGCCCTTGGGATGTTATAGGAGTGCAACTTCAGTAGTTCTTCACTGTCGGCTCTGTTGGCTAGGAGGTTTTAGTCCTAGACGCTCACATTTTCCCAACCACTGGATTATGCCGTTTTCTTTGGTCTGAGTAATAATCACATGCTGTTCAGTATTTTCTGACTTAAGTTCAGTCCAAATTTGCAACCGTTTGGGTTTTTAAATATGTAGCTACATCAGCTAAGTTACACTTTTTTTGTCACAATAAGTGTATGGTAATTATTGAGATTTGCAGACCAGATATTTGGTTGTCAGTCAGCCCAATTATGGGATTATTCCCCTCCTCTCAACTCTGAATATCCAAGGTGGATAAAGTAACAAATTAGGACCTGAGTTCAAATCCCTGCTCAGCCAAAGAAACTAATGGGCAGGGTTGGAACTGGTATAACCAATCCTTAAGAATCTCACTTACCCTGAACTCCTTATTAGAGTCACTGTAAATCGGTGCCAGCTTGAGAGCACAGAACACACACGGACCCTGACTGTGATCTGTTTTCTAGTGATTTACTGGTCAAGCAATGGGAGGATGACATCTGTTCAGCATGAACGGTCGCTCTACTTCTTGCAGTCCATTAAGCAAAAGCTTTGTGTGAGCCAGCATGTATTAATCAGTATTTGCCAATTAAAATTAGATAGAAAATGGGAGAAATACATTACACGCCTTCCTTTGTAGATCAAAGTAAGTAAAGTGCTAACAAAATGCACTTGTCAGTTCAACTCTAAGAGGAAGTGTATAATTTTAAAAAAATTCTCGGCTTGATTCCAAATTAGATGGTACTCTTCCCTCAGGTTTCTTTTTCATCTTGAACTATATCATGTCTAATTAAAATGTGGCAAATATTCAGCGCTGGCTCTTTTTTAGAAGTGGGTTGGCAACTATTAATTATTTTGATAGAAGAGGAACTTAATTCTAGACATTTTGTATTAGGCATTAGGTATCTTAGTACTGAGCTTTAATCATTGCTACCTTAGCAGCAAATTAGCTCTGTTTTTATAGTTTCGAAAGCTGGCCTCTTTTCACATTTTTTAATCCACTGTAAGAATGGAGAGAAGAGCTGGATAGCAGAACTCCTGCCTTGCCTGAAGAAAGTCCCATGCCAAATTCCAGGCACCTCTGGGCAGGACTGCCAAAAACAAATGTCTGTCACGTGGGAGAGCTGCCGCCAAGTCAATTGTATTGAACTTTAAGCTTGTCTGACCTGATGTAAGGCAGCATCTAACAAAAACTAAAGCTCATTGTTTTACAAAAGTCGACCAGGTTACAAAAACCAAAGATAGCTGTGCTGGTGTATGAAAAACATCCCTTCTGCCGTTCCCCTGCCCCTGGGCCCACAACTGTTCAATAACTTTATCTGGACTAAATGAAATGTCACAAGCAGAAGCCATATTCTTTTTCAGTTTCTTTTTAATGTCAGTGCACAAGAGAAAAATCAATATATTAAGCTGCGAAAAGTGAAAGATGACAGCTAAAAAGTAGGGAGGATTAGATTTTTTCTTAATGAGTTAAGAGGAAACTACAGGGCAACAGGTGCATTCCAGAGGCAACAGATGTGCGTTACTTGTTTTAATCTGGTACTGATTCATTTAGAGATCAAGGCAAAAAGGACCAACATGACTGACCTTCTCTTGCCAAACATACAAGTTATGTGAGCATATTGAGAAATATTGGGATTGTTGTTATTGTTCACGCCAGCAATCCTGACCATTTTTGATCATGTGTTTTTGCTGACAAGTAACATGTAAACTGAAAGATCATAATCGCTGCGATTGTAGTGGTTAAAAATAATTGTGTTTTTCTGGCAGTCATTTTTAATGCACAATAAATGTGTCTGCTGGCACTGCTTGTTGGATAGTTTGTTCAGATGTAAAGTTAAAATGATTATATTTTTTTAAAAAGACAATATATTTTAAGTATTTCTTGTAAGTATATGATAGACAAATCTTTGAAAGACTAATTATTCTTCTAAAAGCAAATGAATATGTTTGGAGTGTGTCCAGTGTCTGTACAGTTATGCAGTCATAATCTAAGTTATTTCAGGTTTTAGAAAATGACCTAAATTAGCAAAGTTACTTCTCATTGTTGATGTAGCATAAATCCAAAGGAAAGCACATTTATGGGAGAAATTGGAAAACTGAATCTTGATTCATATATTGCCATTTTCAAATACTTTAAGTCATCTTTCCAAAATAAGAATCCTTTTCCTGAATGTGAATGGAACCAGTCCTAAGTCCAAATCAAACCAAACTCAATATACCCCAGCATTAGTATATTATTAGTATTAGTGAAAGCATCTTGAACGATTTTGATTTGTGGTGATTTCTTGTTAAATTGATGGATACATTAACCATTCAATGTAGAAACCATTTGCTTGTTGTAAAACATGCAGGGATTATTTTACTAATGCCAGTAAGATGCCTAGTGAAGCAACAGCTTGAAACCAGTTACAGACATTTCACATTAGGCAAGAAGCAGGTGGTCCTAATCAGAAAACCTGGGAAATCAGCATTCATCTGAGATCTTTCCAATTTCACCAAAAGAAACCCAAATTAGCAGTCCATATGCTAAACACAGAGTTCGTAGAGGCTATTTTCAATGTACCCGAAAGTTGCTTAAGTAAGACTGTGCCACGTTTAAGCATTTACCTTCCTCTTTTCAGAGAGCTTATAGGTCTTATGCTCTATCCTATGCATCTTTACTCAGGTAAAATCACAGTTTTCATGCTTTTACTTCTAGTAAATAAATTTATTTAGGTAGGATTGCATCACTATCATGTGACAGCTAAAGGAATATAACAAATAGTATTCCAGGTATCTGCACTTTTCTGCTTTGTCTGTCTGTCTCATCTGTCTCTTATGCAGTGAGTTACATTAACAGACAAGACCACACTAGGTCTGTTGGTACAGTAACAAGAATTTGAAAGGAGCCTACAGCAGAGGCCAGTTTATCTACACAGCTGCTGTAAAATATTAGCTCCACAGTAACTCCTTAGTTTGCTCAATTCACTTTCGTGCCTGATAAAGAGGAAAGCGGAGCCTCAGGATTGTGGGCCTTATATAGCCATTTGCAAAGAGTCTAGGGAATGCCTCTTGCCCAAACCCTGCCTCTTCAAAAAAGAGCCACCCTAAGACCCACTCAAGTCCATTCATTCTGTCAATTGGTTATGGGAAAAGTGATTGATGATTCTTCCCGTTACTCACTGTCTCCTATCCTGCCCTCCTCTTCATAACATAAGAAGAGCCCTGCTGGATCAGGCCAAGGGCTCATCTAGTCCAGCACCCTGTATCTCACAGTGGTCCCACCAGATGCCTCTGGGAGCACACGAGACAACTAGATGCCTGTCTCCTGCATCTGGCATTTGGAGGTACCTTCCTTCTAAGCCTGGAGATTATACATCCCCATCATGGCTTGTAACCTGTGATGGACTTTTCCTCCCGGAATCTGTCCAATCTCCTTTTAAAGGCATCTAGGCCAGATGCCATCACCACATCCTGTGGCCAGGAGTTCCACAAACTAACATCACACTGGGTAATGAAATATTTTCTTTTGTCTGTTCTCACTCTCCCAACAGTTCTTTACTCTTACAGATAGGAAGGCAAATGGTATAAAAAGGAAGCTCAGCTAATCTTTGATTGGGGATAGCAGTGGAAAGCCCGTCCACATTATATCCTTCTGCCCTGAAGTGAAGATTTCGACGCCCAATGACCAGCTGGAACAGTGCTCCTGCAGCTGGGGTCTGGGAGCTGACTTTGTTTGCCATGCATCCTCTTGGATGGGGAAGGTGCAGAATGGTCAAAGGTCTTCGAACTGTGTACACTATTGATGGTTTTCCACAACTGGGAAAGGCTGGGCACAGTGATCCCCTTGGGTCATTGATATTAGTGGGTGTAGCCAAATGTCTGCCATTGAGACCTATGGCTACACCTCCTGACATCTGCTCCATTGAAGGATTGGTAGGGTAATATGTACCGCCTTCCTAATTTAAGCTTCTCAGACTACCTTACAAAGGCCATAATCTAAAAACTTTTAGGACAGTTCTGTTCCCCATGTTAATCAGGCATCATATATGAAAATGTATCTGAGAAGATTTCCACACAGAGAATCTACAGTGGTTCTTTCTTCACCTGCTTTCTAATAGAAATGTGTTGATTTTTTTAAAAAAAGCTCAGTTTTTTAAATGAACATTTCTTAAAGTAGCAATGTC